TCTGAGGTTGAATCCTTATCCATTAACCTCTTGCTCAAAAAATGCTGCTAAGGGAGGTCAGAAGAAAGGAAAATGCTCCAAAGGTTTGGAGAAGAAAGATTGGGAAGGTGCAACATGCCCTGTTTGTCTGGAGTTCCCTCACAATGCTGTTCTTCTCCTCTGTGCCTCTTATCACAAGGGTTGCCGCCCTTATATGTGCGCAACTAGTAGACGTTTTTCCAATTGTCTTGAGCAATACAAGAAAGCTTACACAAAAGTTACTTCGATGAACAATGGGTCAGTGGATATTTTAGGTGCAGATGAGGGTGATAAGAAGCTGGAAGTGCCAGAGCTCTTATGTCCACTATGTCGTGGACAGGTGAAGGGTTGGACAGTGGTTGAACCAGCCCGAAAACATTTAAACAGAAAAAGAAGAACCTGTATGCAAGAGAAGTGCTCGTTTGTTGGAACTTACAAGGAGCTGAAGAAACATGTCAAAACAAAGCACCCGTTGGCACAGCCTCGGGCTGTGGATCCTGCACTTGAAGAAAAATGGAAAAAGCTTGAACATGAAAGAGAGCGGAATGATGTGATTAGCACAATTATGTCATCAACACCAGGTGCATTGTTATTGGGAGATTATGTGATTGAGCCAGGATACCATGGTATTTATGAAGAGGAATACGATTCAGATGATTCAGATGACTCCCTTGATGATGGTTATTTCCATTTGGAGTCATTTAACCGAAGACAGAATCGCAGCATTCGCTACTATGATATATTTGATGGGGATGACTTTGGAATGCAGCATGTATTCCGTGCTGTTTCCCCTGGTGGGCGTTCCCAGCACGGTCAGCTGTTGGGGGCAGCACCACTTAGGAGACTCCCAAGAGTTAGAAGACGTTCTGGAGGCCGATAATTCCTGTGGTGAATCTACAATCAAAGGCTCTTTATATGGTTGCTATGTCCTTCAGATGGTGGTAGATAACTTGTTTTGATGGATAGCAGGATGCAAAGAGATTGTAGAAGAAAAAACAAAATAGGGTTGCTTAGGGGTTTAGGTTTTGAGGAGAACCAAGGTATTTTAGCTTTCAGTTCCCTCTTATATGTATGGATTGATTGTTATTATTATTATTATTATTATTATTATTGGGTCGTGTATGGTAGTTATTTTAGCAGCATAAAATTACAAGAGCATTGTCTCATGTACGCTATACTAAAATTTTGGCAACTGTCCATGTTGTCTATTGATTGTCAGTGATTATCCTGAAGTTAATTTTTAGTGCTGCGATTAATTACTTCTGTATGGAATGTGGTCCTTTTTTTTTCCCCCATTTTTTCATCCTCTTATATTCGAACTTAATACTTATTAACATTAGAATATGGATTTTCAGTGACACAGTCTAGATTAGCAAATCACATATCTCAAAAGACAAGTACATTCTTGCCTACAAAGAGGTCACGGTGGTGCCTCAATACATCGATCCTGATAGAGTTCAAGATTAAACAATCAACTGATCCATCAATTCTTGTAGCATTGCCAACCATGCGTTAGTCTTCTCAACATACGCTTCAATTTTCTCTGCAACCAAACAAAATATATAACCAAGACAACTATACTTGAAGAAAAGAAAGAGACATGAAGAGAGGTAGACAAATACCCAGAATTTATTATGGTTTCTTCCTGACCTCTTTCTCCTCCTCTGATTGATGCCTTTATCCGCCTCGGAATCACAGGCCAGACGTTGGTACTTCCATGTCCATGGCATTTTAAGTCTGAGTGGCGCTGTTGCCCATTTCCACTTCTGTTTGATGGAAAATAATTCTTCAATTAGGTATAAAATATAATGCATCGATGATGACATAGAAAATGGTTGAAGAAAATTACCTTGGCCTGGGGACTAGAACACTTCTGTCCGCCGTCTCGCCCTCTTCTCAACTCTTGAGCATAAGCCAGGATCTGAGCCTGGCGATCACCGGCATGGCTCCTAATTTGCTTTGTTTTCTGGATGGGACGGAGGGATCGGACCCTGGATGATTCAACATAGACGGTGATGATGACTCCGGTGATGCCCCGATGCCTCTGCATCTCTTGTTTTTCCACTTTT